CAGGAAGATGAAGTGTTAGTTCTGTCAGCCAAGCACCTGTATCCAATCTTCTGTAGTCAGATTTTGTTTGTAATGTGAAAAAATGTGCAGTAAAGTGTTGTGTAATGTCCGGGCAAGTAACTGGAAGTCATGAGCTCGCATGTAAATACCTGTGCACGCAGCAGTGTAGGAGTTCGTGCTGCTCTGGCTGACTATTATGACCTAAATTTATCTCTAGAGAAGAGTGAAAAACTGATAGATGTCAGTGTAACAGCAGCACTGTCTCCAGGTTTAAAGAGTTTCTGGCACTGTTGTGGATAGGAAATTCCTTCATTAGCTACTGCAGATTTTGTTCCTGAGGCGTTCTCTCCTTGATGCACTTATTAGATAAGATACCCAAATATTTATAGGAGGTTTGTTTATCTACCTGTCTGCTTGGAGGCCAAATGCTTTCTTGCAAAGAAAACATCTCCTAAGAAATGCTGTTTGCTGCAGACTGAACTGTTGTGGAGTATTTTGAGCTAGGATCCAGGAGCTGGAGATGCATTTTTGTTGCTTGCTCATAAGCACCAGAAAAGATGGGTTGTTCCAAGAGTTCTTGGTGAAGTGCAGTGGCACCACACTACAGTTCTTATTCAAGGCTGAGCCTTCCTCAGTAATCTGAATTTTTGACAACTGTTTAGGTCTGTTACATGTGCATAGTCACAAGCTGCCTGATCAGCTTTAAAATAAGTTGAGAAAGGAAGCACCATGTAAACTACTAAGCAAAATAATATCATCTGCTGTAAGAACTCTGCAGGTAAGGTCAGGATGGAACTGTTGGTTGACAAAACCAATATGATTGCCAATTCATTCTTTACCTCATTTGTGGTATTTTGGCAAATTCAATCCATTTGTTAACATTGAGACCTTATAGATTAGAAAAAGCCATTTCTTTACATTAGTATATAAAGTAAAAAAATCTGTTCCAGTAAGTCCATAGGATATGTTACCAGTCTTCATTGCAGCTGCAATTAATAAATGAGCCTGCTGCTTGGTTATTTTTCCCCTTGCATTTTCATGTGTTAGTTCATTCTTACAAATAGCTTGTTACATCATTTGAGAGAATATTATAATAGGCTGCATTGTGGGTTTTAAATATCATCAGTTAAAAAAACACATTCCTAAGCAAGTGAACAGAACACCAAGCAATTGAAATGAGCGGAGATGCTACAAAATTCTCAGGGTTGGAGCTCATTGCAATCAGAATTCCACAATTTTTCACAGGAAAGATTACACGAGTTTATACTTTAGAGATACATTTATCTGAAAATGTAAACCAAATGTGATAGGTTAGTGTGGTACTGAACTCTTCTGGAAGAGGCAAAGTATAGCAAAATTCTTCATTCGTGAGGAAAGTGATTATTCTTTAGGGAAATAGATGGAAAGACATTTTTGCTGGATCCTGTTGCAAATTGAGTTGTTACTGCTGTAAAATGCTATGAGTGATGTGAAGCTGGGTTATGTAAATTTGAAAGCTGAACATCAAATAAACTACAGAAGTCATAAGGTGTTTTCCTTGGAAACAGGAATAGCCATTAAGGTTTCTGTTAGTTTCAACTGTACGTGCATGGTCAGTACCTAAAGTCCCGACAGGTTTTTCTTTCCTTTGTTCTTTATTTCAACGAAGATGATCTCTGCTGAGGCTGGTGGAATCACAGCCACTCTGTGCTTTCAATAAAGGCCAAGCTGGATCTGTGGGGAGCACTGCCTGCATGAGGTGTGGAGGATCAGCTCTATCGTCATGAATACAAACAAGCAGAGACCTGCAAAATGTCTGTAAATGCAGATCATGGTTTTTCAACAAAAAGTCCTTTCAGCATTAACAAATTCTGGTTTAAGAGGTGTTATCCTTGCTACTTTATAAAAATATCCATTGTTTAGTTCTTGTTTCAAACACTATGAATTCTCCCAGTGTGGATTATTTACATAAAATTATTTCAACAACATCTGTGTAAACAGTATTTGTATCTTCTGAATCTTGTGTACACTTCTTCTTGAAAAGATTTCAGTCTCCCTTTTTGTGTACAAAGGGTATATGTTATAACATGTTTTATTCAGACAGATTTAAAGCTCATTGAAAGCATTTGAGAAGGGGTTGTTATGCCCTG